TGTAGCTATTACTATATTGGTACGACTAGCTTGTGAATTTTATCATGATCTTTGACATGTTTTGTTTTAAACAGATCCTCTAGATATCAACTCAAAAACGAAAAGGATAACTCATAAAGGAAAAATCTACCCTTTTCAGAGAAACTTTATCATTGCTTCATTAGCAATCCTGCAGTCCTAATGTATGAAAAATGTAATACAGTTTGTGAAAAAATTAAGCTATTTAACATTTTAAGAAAATATGTATGATATAAAGTGGGTTACATGTTTATTTTAAATGGTTATAATTCATCATACATTTCAAAGATATGAAGAGAAGGAATGGCAGAATGGCATCCTACACAGACTCTTGAGTCCTATTTAATGGGTTTGAAACCAGACTTCCACCACGTACTAGCAGGTTGGACAAGTCAGTTTAACCCTGCTCTTCCAATTGCCTCATCTGTAAAATGTGAGATTCATTTAATGTTATCATGAGGATCAAATGAGGTAATAATACACAATACTTAGCAAAGTGCTTAGAACATGCTAAGTGCTCCTTAATTTCTGTTACTTTTATAATTTCTGTTAACATTAACACTAGTACTACCAGTATGCTAAATACAAGAAGTTTTTCCAAAGAACAGAAACTCAGTGTATTCTAACTATAAAGGTAGATATTTTTACATATCCTTAAAATGATACCACTTTCTTCCAGCATTATGCAGAGTAGAATTATTTGAAAATATGCTGAGATTTTAGATGTTTTGTAAGAATGAATATTAATCTTTCACTAAGTGCTTTATTTTCTCCAAATAATTAACCCAAGTTTAATTTTTCACTATAGCTCATATATCCTGAGAAAATATGAATACTAATGTCACATTATTTTTAAAATTATGATATGCAAAATAAAAAGTTTCAAATTATGGAAGAATATGCACTTGATCTCAATGCCATTTTGAAATAAATGCCCAGAATTTCATTTAATGAATCCAATGTAGTATCACTCTTTTTCACAATTTCTTTCTTGTGTCTCAACATTTTGTCTGATTCATGAAAATGTAGGTGTGTTTCTACTATAAAAAAGAAGGCATGTATATATATGCTGGTTTATACTTAACCAAGGCCTTGAAAAAAAAATCAAGGAGGTAAAATCAATCACACACACACACACACACCTGTATGAATAAAAAGGCGTTCGTTTGCTTGTTTGCCTTGCATTTTTTTCAAGAATTGCCTTAAGGCTTCATTTTCCTTTCCATGCAATTGATTTATCCATCCAAATTACTAGATCACTAAGCTTTTAATTTTCTAAGAATCTCTGGATTTGGCTGTATATATGCATTTGACTTCAAACATTTAATTAATGATGACAATTAGAAACACACATATAAATTGGACTTCCAGCACTTATGTTACCTGATTTGTAATAATATAATAGTTTTAAATAATGTAAGAAAAAAGATAGGTTATTTTAAAATTTCTCTTTTTCACTATTAATACAATATAAAGTAATTAAAGATATGTTAAAGTATTAGCCACCTGTAATTTGTAGCAGTTTTGTAAAGTCTGCTACCTAATTCACATTTTTGACAGATTTATGTATTACACATGTGCAGTTTTCTTACATGCACAATATATGTTTTATGTAGTGTTTGTGTCGACTTTAACATCTATCTGTGAGACTTCACTCAGATAAACATTTTAATCAAAATTTCAAATAATTACTAAAAATCACCAACATTTGATTAACATATTATGATCTGTTGAAGTAAGCAACTAAGTTTAGGTCTGGTGGTTGCCTCATATGTCACTGCAATCTATATATAGTACTTATAGGGAGCTTAACTAGCATATATGTACAATTGCATGCATTCTGTGATATTTTTAATATTCACTTCAATATTCACTCTAATTTTTGGCATTGCTTCCAAATTTTCATATATGTTAGTATCTTTATAATTGACAGATTAAATACATTTGTTGTTTGTAACAGAAACTTTGTAAAATTATGCTCCCTTAGAGGTAAACATGCCCTAAATATTCACTGCATGTTCTTGTCATCCTATCTCCTTTTTAATCATTATTTTAACATCACCCTTTTCCTTCCTACCTTCCCTCCACTCCTGGGGTTTATAGGTGTAATGACATCAGCCTCAAAGCCCAGCACAGGTAGTGAGGCGAGAGGGGCAACATAATATCTCAGTACATCATAAGGTTGGATGCTGAGGGGTGAGTTGTGCTGTAGAGGACTTGGAGGCAATGCTCTGAAGCCAAGAAAGCAGACAGGTGCATAGATAAGATAGGGCCTATGAAGGATATGGCCAAAGAGATGCCAAAATATTGGTGAGTATACATAAGTATTCGCAATGTATACTTATTGTACTTTGTACTTATTGCAAGTATACTGAGGGTATGGGAATCAGGTTTATCATTGCCTGAAAATAGATTCATAATTATGGCAAAGGAAGACAGTTGAAAAGAACCCCAATGTGTTCGATTGAAATTAAAAATATTGATATGAACTCATGAGCTTTATTTATACATACACAGACACAAATACACACAGATAAATAGAAATGGTTATATATGTATGTGTGCATATGCCTATACATAGTAGACTTTTATTATTTGCAGTATTATGTTCTATAAAAATGGCTGTGAATATGGAATCAGCAAAAACTAAAACCATTGTTTTTAGGGATAATATAGAGTTGGGTTCCTGTGAGGCTCTGGTCACGTTTTAATCAACTGATCATTACATAACCTTGTTTTAGGTGTGTTTCTGCTTAAAGACACTTTATTGAATATATATTGTTGATTCATAGTCAACAACAGCACTATAGCTCATGCCTGAATGGAGTTTATCTAACACATATTTTCTCTGTAAGTCATATCACAGGCTTCTTGTGCTTAGGAACATTAGACAGCACTTCAGCACTAACCTAGGGGTCCATTTTAAATAGCAAAATCACCAAAAAAATCAAGATGTGAAAACTGTAACACTAAACAGATCACAAAGGGGACACTTGTTTATAGTATGGAAACAAGAAGGGATTAAATTGCCTTAGATGATCTCAACTGGGAACACCTTCATGGGGTGCCTCAATTTGTCACTTTGAGCATGTCTATGAATACAGCAAAAGCATCATGAGTATTGATTTTGGGGTTTCAAATAAATTTTAGCAAGGAAGTGGATTCACAAATACAACAACCAAGAACAGTAAGAATCAAATTGTATATCTGCATATCTATCTATTTGTACATATTTCTCAGTTCTGTCTAATGGGAGAGCATAGAAGCACTGAGCACATCTAGTTTCTGGGTATTGGCATCTAAATACCATCTTCTACTGAAAGGAGCAGGCAGTCTTGCAGAAATGGCTGATTTCAAAATGGGGACAAGAAAAGAACAAGATAAGCTTGCAGATTGTATTGATTGAAAAAAACAAGGCATAAGGAAATGCTCAGAGAGTAATGGAACATGAAGAGAATGGAGGAGGCAGCTTGACAGGGCTCTTATTGGCTAAATTTAGAAAAATATTAACATCAAATAAACAATGAGAGTACCAGACTAGACCCCAATGAATAAAACAGAAATCTATTAGACTAAATGTTTTTGTGTGTATGTATGTATATGTATGTGTATATATTTTACATATACACACTACTTTGATTAGTGGAATAAAAGTAGTGTGTATATACTACTTTTCTTAGTGAAAAAGAAAGTAGCAAATGTAGGAAAAAATTTAGGAAGGATGATATAATTTCTATTTGGCAATCACCGCAGTGGTAGTAAATAGAGATGGGAGTCATCAGTGGATTAGTGGATTCTATGAATGGTGGGTAGATGAGAGAGAAGAGAATATTAGCATAATATCTCAACATTTATCCACAAATTATTAACCAAAAGGTAATAAAAATAAAATCATGGTATAGGATTTTTTTAAAACTTGAACTTTTTAAAATTAATATAATTTTTTTGAATTTTAACCTTATTTGGGGACGTCTCAGTGGTTATTTTATTCCATGTATTTAAATCAATATTCTTGCACTGAAAAATATGGAGACTTTATGTAATATTTTCACATATTTTTGCCTCCAAACTAGGTTTTAACTACCTTAAAGTAGTTAGGAACAAATTCTTCCAGGGCATTTTTCTCAATAACAATCATAATAACATGAACTGAGTGTTGCTCTACTACCCACCTTTACCCACCTTTACTGTCATCAATGTTAATTCACAATAGAATATCATTGCTTTGTCAGCCCAGTGACCCTATTCTTGTATTGGGAAGTGCAGTTCTCATCTTTTTAGACATTCTTTTTTTTTTTCATTGAGACAGAGTTTCACTCTTGTTGCCCAGGCTGGAGTGCAATGGCACGATCTCAGCTCACCTCAACCTCCACCTTCCGTGTTCAAGCCATTCTCCTGCCTCAGCCTCCCGAGTAGCTGGGATTACAGGCATGAGCCACCACGCCTGGCTAATTTTTGTATTTTTAGTAGAGATGGGGTTTTACCATGTTGGTCAGGCTGGTCTCAAACTCCCAACCTCAGGTGATCTGCTCGCCTTGGCCTCCCAAAGTGCTGGGATTACAGGCGTGAGTCATTGCGCCCAGCCTAGACATTCCTTATTATACCATTCCAGTTCTATGGTTCTCATGGGCTCTTCCATTTTTAACACGTGACACCATTACCTGGGTTCATTGCCCAAAGCTGAGCAGCAGACCCAGGTAGGAACATCATATAGATTTTCTGAGTATTTTAAAACCGAAATGGGGTGCTTCCAAAGTAACAAATGCTGTGAGTCATGAGGTCTGAGAGTTCTTAGTTATGTGATAATTAACATGTGGAAAACACATGCCAGAATAAGAGATTTCTAAACAATATCAAAGACATAGGTAGATGAAAGATAGAGGTAGATTCCCATGGTGTCTGAAATTCTTGTCCTGCTGATGCTAAGGCTTAGCTGCATCCTTACTCTTCCCCAAATTTGGTTACTTAATTCCCCCATTTACCTTGTAAGCTAATAAATTTCTGCTTTGCCAAAGCCAATGAAGTTTCTGTCATCTGCAAAAAAAAAAAAAAAAAAAAGGTTTGGTTAATAAAATTATCATCCTCTTCATCATTCTACTTATCATAAAGAGCAAGTCTGTCAAATATTTTTGAGTTAATGAAATCTTCAGAAATTGTTTTCTTGGTTAAAATTCAGGCATATTGAGAGAATAGCTATAAAATGTAGCATTTTTGTAAACATTGTGCGAAAATGTAAAATAATATTACTTTTCACAGATGAAGAAACAACAATTTAGAGATATTGCAGAGAAAAGAAGTAAAAATTTAATGATCTGTAAATTTTATTCCCACTGGAGTCTAAAAATTAATGAGACTACGTGAACCTGTTACGAACAGCTTTTATTTGGCAATGGTAAAATGTAAGATACTTTAATACATTCTCTCTTTGGTTTATACGTAGAAAGATTTGTGAGGTGTTATTCTACTGCTAATGGAATTTGCATTACTTTATGAAAGTATAAAATGTTCAGAAATATCAAAAGTTACACAAAGTCATTTCCAATTTCCTTTTCAGTAAGCCGACATTTAAACTACCAGTCATTGTTAATTTAATTATTAGTATTCAAAATTCGTGGTGTATTAGTGAACAGATTGCAAATGAAATAAGATGAGAAAATAAATACAGAGCAATAAAACAGAATCAACTCTAAAATGCAGATAGTAAATGCTAATTAATGTGAAACATATTGCCAAAATTTGTGCAGTGGGTTCGTCACTTGTAAATGCAATGATCTTGGGCAGATGCTGAAACTTCTCTGCCTCAACACTGTCATCCGTAAAACAGAAAATGTAACGTGACCAACTTCATAGTATGATTGTATTAAATAAATTAATACATGTAAAACTCTCAGAACAGTGTCTTGCATCCATTACATTCTCATATTAGTATTTTCCACTAAGATCATTTTTATTATGCTAATGTTTTTAAAAAAACATTCTTGATTATTAAAATGCTCTGGGAGTTTTAAGGTTGTTTAATCACATAAAAAATTGGTTCTCAGATGCCTAAATCTGCTCTAATGCTATTGCATCCTATCAAGCACACAGTACTTGATTAAGATGCGTTATAAAACGGATTTTACAGACTAATATGTATTGTCTATTGCTCTGTGCCAAAAAAGTGTGTATCTGACACTTATGTGGTAGAATTAATTATCTAAATTAGCTTTTGCATAAACCCACTATCATTTAGTACTCACCAAAGGGCAATTTATTGCTCTCGTGATAAAGGATTCCGCTGATCTTAAGAAATGAATTCACAGTTTTAATATACTTTGCCTATTGACTGGTTTTATTTTTCTCAGGGAGAGGCACATATACTCTCATCTCCCCACTGAAAATGTTGAGAAACTTCATTTATTATTGGCCAGTTAGGCATTTCCTTTTGTGAAGTGCCTGATTACATTTTTGTTCATGTTTCTATTGGCTTGTCGGTCTCTACTTTTTTTTTTTTTTTTTTAGTGTGCTGCCATTTAATGATGGGAAAAATCAAACAAAAGAATATGTTATTAATCACATAGACCACATCAGGAAAGGCTGTATGAAAAAGTAAGGACAAAATTATCTCCAGGGAATATTTTTTATGTATAGGAATCTATCTCCCTAGGTAGTATGTATGTCTGTTTTGCTGTCTGTCTATATGTCTATCCTATATTATCTTTTTTCATGTGTATACATTGAAAATATCTTTTCCCATATAATAGCTTTTTATTCACTCATATAACGGTTTGTTTTAAAGGAAAAAAAAGCTCTTAATATTTTCCAGTTTATCATTTGTTTTTACTTTTAGGTAAGTATTTTTTATAGTATTTAAGAAATGGTTGTCTCCCTCAATGTCATGAAGTGTGTCTGTGTTATCTTCAAGAAACTGTAGACTTACATTTTATATTTAGATCTATAGTTCATCCTAAATTGATTTTTGTGTATGGTGTGACTGTAAAAGAGGCATTTATCTATGTACACACACATACACATATAAAAACTACATTATACTTCCATTTAAACATCAAATTTCCACAGCATCATCAAATTTCCACAGCAACATAAAATATAATGCTATCTCCTTTGTACTTATGTATCTCCTCTGTCATAAACTGACTGTATTTAAAGGGTCTGTTTCTAGATATTATTATGTTCCATTTGGTAGCATGTCTAGTTTGTGCTACTACCACATTATTTAACAACTATAGCTTTAAAAATCTTGTATCCGTACTGTCATGCTGGCAGATTCATTCTTCTTTATTATTGTCATAACTATTTTTACCTTTACATTTGCATATGGTTTTAAATATCCATTTGTCATTTCCAGCCAAAAACTACATGCTATAAATCTAACTGTAAGTGCATTAAATGCATGGAAGGATTTTGGAAGCTGCAACACATTAAAAACGTTGAATCCTGCTGGGCTGGGTAAGTCATGCCTATAATCCCAGCACTTTGTGAGGCCAAGGAGGGAGGCCAGGAATTTGAGACCAGCATGGGCAATATAGTGAGATCCTGCCTCTACCAAAAAAAAAAAAAAAATTGTTGGGCATGGTGGCACACACCTATAGTTCTAGTTACTTGGGAGGCCAGGGTGGGAGGATAACTTGAGCCCAGGAGGGTGAGGCTGCAGTGAGCCATGACTATGCCTCTGCACTATAGCCTGGGCAACAGAACAAGACCATCTCTCAAAAAAAGTTAAATCTTCCGAACAATGAATATGATGTAGCCCTCCATTAGGTAGTACTTCCTTTGCATTTTTTAATAGAGAGGACTTACTCATCACTTATTAAATTCATTCCTAGCTGCTGATGCTTATTGTTGCAAGTATAAATTATACCAATTGTAATTTTCAATTTTTTTGCAGATATACTAAATTTCTAATTTTAATCATGTTATAATGAAAATATATTTATCTCTAACAGTTTATCCATAAAATTTTTTGGATTACTACACACACCATCAACCTTCCATGAATAATGCCCATTTATTTTCTTACATTCTAATCATTATAAATTTAATTACTTTCACCATCATATTGTTCTGACCAGGCTGTCCATTGAAATGTGAAATGAAGACAATTACAGCCTTTCCTCATTCCCTATCTTTAGGGACGTGCTCTTACTAATTCATCAAGAATAATGATTTCTGAATAATTTTTGTATATAATCCTATTCACATTAATGAAGTGCCTATTTCTGGTTTTTTATAGTTTCATTATTATTACTTTTTGTAAAACAAATGGTTGTTATTGAGTGTTTAGTCAAATCCCTTGCATCTAATGTTTTAGAGCATAGTTGTTAGATTTAACCAGTTTAGCAATATTTGTCTTATTTTGTCTATTTCCATTTGAAATGAGTTCTATATTGTGGTTATATATTATTTGTTTTCTATTTGATACATCTGCTATATATGTATTTTGTCTCTTTTTGTTTCCTCTTTTGATTTAATCAAATATAGTTATTTCCTTCCTCTATTAATATGCTGATTAAACATTCCTGTACCTTTTTTGGTCCAGAAGTTAAACTAGACATTGCATCACATATTCCCAAATAATTAGAACCTAATAGAAATCATTACTTTAACAATTCCTTGATTTTTCTATAACCTTAGAATTCTTAATGCTTTCTCTTGTGTCATTACTCTGTATTTTAATCATATGTAAATATTTAAAGCCAAAGGCATTCATTATCTTATAATTATCACTATTTTTTGAACTGATATTTACTTAATTTTATCCATATATTTAACCTTTTGGATATTTGATGGGTTTGTCTAAAATACTTTTTCTTTTTTCCAAAGAATCATTTTAGTATTTCTTTTAGTATTGGTGTATTAGCAAAGAATTCTTTGTTTTTGCTGTCAATTTTTTCTTCAAGCCCTTTAAAGATCTTTTTCCATTAATTTTGAGCTGCCATTATTGCTATTAAAAATTTATTTGTTGTGGCTGGGTGCAGCGGCTCATGCCTGTAATCCCAGTACTTTGGGAGGCCGAAGTAGGTGGATCACCTGAGGTCAGGAGTTCGAGATCAGTATGACCAACATGGTGAAACCCGGTCTCTATGAAAAATACCAAATTAGCCCGGTGTGGTGGCAGGTGCCTGTAATCCCAGCTATTTGGGAGGCTGATTCAGAAGAATCGCTTGAACTTGGGAGGTGGAGGTTGCAGCAAGCTGAGATCATGCCAGTACATGCCAGCCTGGGCAACAAGAGTAAAAGTCTGTCTCAAAAAAAAAAAAAATTAGTTTATCATTATTATTATTGCTTTGAAGGAAATGATTTTTTTTCTGGCTGCTGCTTTTGCTTTAAGTTGTTGGTTGTGTTTATCCTAATATGCCTCAGTGTGGTTTACTTTGCGCATATTTCAACTAAGGTTTATTGAAGTTCTCAAATCTGTACTTGAATAACTTTCTTCAGCTTTGGAGAACTCTTGGTGACTTTCCTTATTTCTTCTGTCATATTATTTTCCTCTTTTCTCCTTTTAGAACTTAATTAACATATATTAATTTTTTTTCTTGTATCTTATATAGCTCTTACTCTCTCTTCTAAACAATCTATGGAATTTTTCTCTACAAGGATTCTGGATTTTTTTGACTTTCTTGTCTTCCAGTTTATTAATCAATTAGCCAACACTTCCATTTCATTTAATCTTCTATTAAAAACAACTATTAATTGAAATTAAGAAGGTTATCTACTTAGATTCTTAGAATCCCACTTTGTATTTCAAATAATGGAAAAAAAAAAAAAAGAAGGGGAAAACCAACTGTGGGTTGTATTAATTATGCTTTGTAAATTTTTTGTATTTTCAATGTTTTCACATATTAGGGACTTGCTGATCCTGGGAGGACTGCTTGTCCTAAGACGTATCAATTCCCAAAGATACAAAGAACTCACATGCAAACATGCTTTTCACAGGCAAACTAAACTAACCCAGAACCCATATCCCCGACCACATTTTAAAATCATGCTCTTACAGTCTGGGCCATGATTTCCTTGCCCTAATTACCCCAGAGCCAGATACTAGACAACTAGGAAGAGCTCCTACACAACGGAGCCTCCCAAAATTGCTCCAGCTAGCCAATTCCAAGCCTGCTTACACTACCTTGCCCATTTTTTCCTGCAAAAACCAAAATAAAAGCTCTTGCCTGCAGTTTCAGCACAGTCCATCTTCCTCCTGACCAACCTTGGTGCTTTTCCAGGTGCCTCCCGCATAGTGTCATGTCCCTTTCCCTTTGGATCTGGAGTTATATAACCTTTGGCAGTTGTCTCCTGGTCTTTTGGTCTCATCATACCTGAGTAGATAAATAAAACTTGCGTTTTCATACATGCGTTGAAGTCATTTATTCACACATCACTTCACATTAGAATCCTAACCTCTAGAGACTCCAATTTCTCTGGCTCCACTCCGGTGAAAATAACAAAATCTCTGATTTTGTCTATGCCCTCTAGGAGCAGGCTTCTGTCAAAGTACTAAATACAAAATTTCATCCACTTGCTGTTTTCTCATATTTGGAAAATGTGTCAAGAAAACAGTAGCTAGAGAAATTTTGTCTACCTCTACAATCACTTTCCAGCTCTGAAATAGTCTGCAGTCATCTAATTTTTCTTCATGTACCTGAGTCAAGCACATAAGTCTATTACCATTATTCCCATACATTTTAAATACTTGCCAACTGCATAATCCAGGGTGTCCTCTTTCATATAACCCCATTCCCATGTACCACATATGAAAATGTTAGTAAATCCAGCTTTTTGGGGTTCTTAGGACCCATGATTATCACTAGCATTGGGATTCTTGTTGCCGTCTGATAGGTGAGTAGTGCAACTTCTGGATCCTGTTCTCAGGATATATTATCTAGTCCTGTTTCAGCTTTTAGTTTACAGTATATATTTTCTCCTAATACATGGTAATAGTTTGTTCCGTTTGCATTAATAATGGATGGTATCACAGTTTTTCAGTTAAGAGAAATATACAGATCCCTAATATTCACAGGTATGCATGAGAGATTAATATGGAAGTCTTGTACATCTCATTCTTATGACAGACTCCTGCAATTTTCTTTATCCCTGTGGCATCATGTTGATATTTTTACTTTGTGCAATTAATATTGAGATACATTTTGGCATTCTATCACAGTTCGCTGCATCAGGCAACTCATTAGCACTGGAAATTTGGTGTTCCTGAACATATTAGGTAGCCACTTTTAAATTATTATTTAAAATGTCTCCTTTTACAGACAGGAAATGTTATTCATTCCATGATACTTTGCATTGATTGCACATCTTAACTTAAAGGATGACATTCCCCTGATAGATTATGGAAATGGATCCTTGAAGTCACAGTTTAAGAGCTAGGAAATGACACTCTGGTGTTTAGCCATTATTCTGCAAATGTAACCTATACTTGGAACCAAGAGACATTATATAATGCTGTGTTCCTGGTTGCTGGAATTCCAAGAAATTGCCCTTCTCAGAAAGATTTCCATTGACATATGTGGCTAATATATGCTTCTTGTCTCTACAACTTAATGCCCTTCTGGCTTCGAATTTCTGGTCCCTGGTGGGAGATAATACCATGAGATGACATAATGTTTCACTAAACATAAAGCTGCAGCTGCTGTATCTGGGTCTTCCCATGTTAATAGGCTGGTAGGAAAACAAATGAGTTCTTTTACTGGAATAAATAATTTACTCAGTATGAGGGCATAAGTTTATAGTTCGATAATGGGACAAGGCTGAGTATTCTGGAACGCAAAGGATTCACTGGGGTGAGTCTTGCTTCTTACATGACCACTGAAAATGTAAATAGAAAATTGAGAAATTTTGCCCCCCAAAATCATGGTAACCAGGGATGCAGATCATTCAGGGAAGAAAATCTTAATTGTTAATTCACAAGTCAGACCTTTTAGATGAACTAAAATTCTGGATAAGGTTGAATAGAGAATGGGTGACATAAAAGGGGCATAAAGATTATTAGTTCTATTAAGGTTGCTATATTTGCTGCCCATAATAATAATTATTAGTGGAAACAAATGCTTTTAAATTCAGAGAAAAAATGATACATAAGAACTGCAGAATGAGTATTATAATCACCTAATGAACTACAACATGCAAGACAGATGAAATGATTAACTCGGATGTGATTTACATCTCTATTAATGCTGCCACACAGTAAACATGATTTAAAATATCCAACAGCAGACACTTATTAAGCGTCAATGTTTCTGCCAGACACTTTGCTGGTTTTTGTGGACATAAAGGTAACTTACACATCATTTCTTCCATCATATCAGAAACTGTGGCTAAATTTTTTTATGAATTTTATCCTTGCTGTCACATTTATTGACAGTAATTTGAATGGCAAGGAAGTACAGAAAAGACTGTCACTACAATATTTACCCGGAACTCATGTCCTTTATGCTTTAGCAAAATGCATGATGAAAACATATTCAAGATATTTGACCATATAATTATTTCTCGTACAAACTGTTACAACTACTACACCTGAATCTGTCCTAGATATGAATGACTTTATCACTGAAGATAAACAGAAATATTTTGGTTTACAAATACTTCATATGTGAAATAAAATATATAAATAAAATGATTGTATCTAAACATTTGGTTTCTCAAAACAAAGTCTGAGACAAAGATTTGACTACAGGTGGTTTATTTGTGATGCAATTTTAAGAAGTAACATTAAGGGAGCAGAGAGAGGTATAAAGGGAAAAAGCAAAAGCACTTAAAGAGTAGTTTATTGGCCGGGGCATGGTGGCTCATGCCTGTAATCCCAGCATTTTGGGAAACTGAGGCAGGTGGATCAACCAAGGTTGGGAGTTTGAGACCAGCCTGACCAACATGGAGAAACCCCATCTCTGCTAAAAATACAAAATTAGCCAGGCATGGTGGCATGTGCCTGTAGTCCCAGCTACTCGGGAGGATGAGGCAAGGGGATCACTTGAACCTAGGAGGGCAGAGATTGCTGTGAGCCAAGATGCACCATTGCACTTCAGCCTGGGCAACAAGAGCAAAACTCTGTCAAAAGAAGAAAGAAAGAAATAGGAAAGAAAGAAAAAGAAAGAAACAAAGAGAAGGAAGGAAGGGAGGGAGGGAGGGGGAGAGAGAGAGAGAGAAAGAGAGAAAGAAAGAAAGAGAGAGAGAGAGAAAGAAACAAAGAAAGAAAGAGAAAGAGGAAGGAAGTTAGTTACTTATCAAGTTGACCATTTCTGTGAAAACTCATCCACTGGGGACCCTCCAAAACAGTGAATATACACTCTAGAGTTTATCTTTGAAAAGTTTGTGGATGTTTCATTCATTCAGTATTTCCCATTCTTCATTATGGTTTGCTCTTTTGATTAACTTTCTCCTGGACTACGTATTTTATGTGTACTTCCAAACCTTGGGAAAGAATGTGAAGCAGAAAATCATTGGCATACACTGAATGTGGGACACCATCAGCATATACAGAGGTGTCTACCACAGTGTGTAAAACTGAGGAGGAGGCCAGGTGCAGTGGCTCACACCTGTAGTCCCAGCACATTTAGGGAGGTCAAGGCAGGCAGATCACTTGAGCTCAGGAGTTCAAGACCAGCCTGGCCAACATGGTGAAACCCTGTCTCTACTAAAAACAAAAATACAAAAATTAGCTGGGTGTGGTGGCATGTGCCTGTAATCTCAGCTACTTGGGAGGCTAAAGCAGGAGAATCACTTGACCCTGGGAGATGGAGGTTGCAGTGAGCCAAGATCACACCACTGCACTCCAGCCTGGGCAACAGAGAGAGACTCCGTTTCAAAAAAAAAAAAAAGAAAGAAAGAGAGAGAGAGAAACCTGAGGAGGAAAAAGAAAATGACACAAAGTATAAGAACTATTTTCAACACATTGTTTATATTTTTAACTTTCACTGAAGTCTTACAGATGGATTTCATGCATTATTTGTTTACTTAATTTCCTCTTGGAAACCAATGATTCATTGGGTACGTACGTATAGTGTAGGGATTTCTTTATAGCTTAGTGAAGCTAATGCATTTTGTCCTCAATACTAATTAATACTTTATAAATATTATAACAAAATACCATTCAACAAATTATATAATTATATAATTAATCAACTATATCACTCAGTTAACAAAAAGCTATTATTTAACTAACTGTAACAAGATTAGTAGTTGTCTTGTGCCAGGTACGATTACAGATATTGGAGATATATGAGTAATCAAAATAATTACAAATCAAAAAGGTGTTTGCCTTTGAAGAGACAGAGTACAAACAGTTCCCGACATTGGATAGGTTGATTCATAAATTTTCATCTTCATAATTGTGTGAAAGTGATATGCATTAAGCAGAAATAGTACTTTGAATTTTGATTTCTTTCCAAACAAATGATATACTCTCTTGTCATGCTGGGCAGCATCAATAAGCCACAACTCCTAGTCAGCCACATAATCACAAGGGTAAACAACTGAGCCTCTACAGAGTACTGTGTTGCCAGACGATTTTGCCCAATGTTAGGCTGTCAGTGTTCTAGACACATTCAAGGTAGGCTAGGCTATGATGTGATGTTCGGTAGGTTAGGTGTTTTAAACGTATTTTAAACTTATGATATTTTCAACTTACTATGGGTTTATGGGGATGTAAAGTGTAAGTCCAGGAGCATCTGCATATGTATTTTTCTCTATCCTGCTATTAAAAGCTAAAAGCCATTCTAACTGGTGTGAGATGGTATCTCATTGTGGTTTTGATTTGCATTTCTCTGATGGCCAGTGATGATGAGCATTTTTTCATGTGTCTGTTGGCTGTATGAATGTCTTCTTTTGAGAAATGTCTGTTCATATCCTTTGCCCACTTTTTGATGGGGTTGTTTGTTTTTTTCTTGTAAATTTGTTTGAGTTCTTTGTAGGTTCTGGATATTAGCCCTTTGTCAGATGAGTAGATTGCAAACATTTTCTCCCATTCTGTAGGTTGCCTGTTCACTCTGATGGTAGTTTCTTTTGCTGTGCAGAAGCTCTTTAGTTTAATGAGATCCCATTTGTCAATTTTGGCTTTTGCTGCCATTGCTTTTGGCGTTTTAGACATGAAGTCTTTGCCCATGCCTATGTCCTGAATGGTACTACCTAGGTTTTCCTCTAGGATTTTTATGGTATTAGGTCTAACATTTAAGTCTCTAATCCATCTTGAATTAATTTTCGTATAAGGAGTAAGGAAAGGATCCAGTTTCAGCTTTCTACTTATGGCTATCATTAAAAAGTCAGGAAACAACAGGTGCTGGAGAGGATGTGGAGAAATAGGAACACT